AAATCTGAAGTCTGAACACTGAAATTTAAAGTATCTCGACTTATAATTTTATCTTAAAAAATAATTGATGTATGTGAAACTATGATAATAAAAAATAATAATAATATTATTAAATAATGTAATAAAAATCTTTAAATTTTATTACGCTATTATTTTTTCAGTTAATAATCATGTCATATTTTATCATTGTCAAAAAAAATCATATTTTATGGTAAATATATATTGATCATGGAATTTAATGGATTTTAATTTTTATATAAAAATAAATATTTATTACATAAAAAATAATTTACATAAATTTTAATTTAGAACTAGACATCATGATTAATAAAAATATGTCAAGATAAAATATCAAAAGTATAAATATAAAAATAAATAAATAGAAAAAAATCGTCTCAAGAATTTAGTTAAGATATAAGTGATAGGCCTATCACTAATTTTTAGGCTCACATTTGTACTAGCGTTTCAGACCCACTTAATTTTTTAAGACATCCTACTTTGAGTTATCAAACGCACTTAAAATTTAAGTCCTTAAGAAATTAAGTTCTTAATCAATTAAGTTTTTATGATATTGTGTTATCAAACATTGCTAATCAATTAAGTACTTAATTAATAAGTTTAAGTGTTTAATTGGTTTATCAAACAGAGTCTAAATCGTTAAACACATTAAGAGAAAAAATTATATTTAATAACAATTATTAGGGCATTTTTTTTACCTACTATTTGCACTAAGAAGGGATGGAACTAAGGGGAGTCAGGAGGGTCGACCAACCAAATCCCTTTAGGTAAAGTATTCCGACGGGACCCCGTACTGTATTTTTCACCGGCCAACACCCCCGGCTAATTATTTTGAAGAAGATGAATGACAATCAGACCAAGCTTTTCTTCTTAATATGCTTCTTTTGTTTCCTTTCTTTGTTTGTTCTTTGTAAAATAGCCCATTTCGGCTTCACTTAACATATTCGCTGGGCTTTGTTTATTCAAATATAACCTTGTCCTCTTAATTGGTAGAGCATTACAAGGCCCATGTATTTAAATTGCATTATATGAATATATAATTATAAATTATCCTTTTTAACTATGATAGTTACATTTATAAAGAATAATTATAAATCATTAAAGTTACTATGTTGTTTTAATTATGAAAAATAAAGTGAGTTGATGATCGTCAAAAATTGAAGCTCAAACATTCCATACTGTAATAAAATATTATATTTGTGGCACCATATAAATTCTTTAATTATTATTTAAACACATGAGAATTAAATTTATCGTAACATTAGGATAAAGGGTTCTCTTAAAATAGATGCAGGATTGATTTGGGAGAAACATTTTGTACATATTTATAAATGTAATTCCCACAAAATAATTTAAAGCAAATTATAAATTTTCAAAAGCTATTCCATTTTTTGTTATTTGATTTTTTTTTTTTGGGTAAAAAGTGAATCTATATTACTTTCATCAAAAGGACCAACTGTCACAATTTACATCATATACATCATCATGGTCTCTCAAAATACTGACTGCTAAGGGTCACATAGTTGCTAAAGACAATAATAAAAAGAAAAAAGAGGAGCAAACTAGAGAAGAGGTTTACAGCAACTGCAACCACTGCAAAAAGTTGAATTCGCAAGCTTTTTTCGATTTATAAGTGCTGTAAATTCTCCACTTTATCTCTCTTCTAATCATTTCAAAAACCGTCTCCACTGTCGGATGCTTCCCCTCATGGATTTGTTGATTTCTGGCTTTCCACACCTGGTAGTACCCTGCTTCTATAACTGCATATAGAACTCCCTGCTTCTATAACTGCATATAGAACTCCCTGCTTCAACTTATTTTCCCTCCGCACGTATAGCAGTTTCTTCCAATTCTTCACAGCCAATCAGCTTGCTAGAAATACTATCCATCCTCTCAGTTTCAGCCAAAGTTCCTGCGTAAAACGACATTGCAGGAATAGATGTTCTGGGGGTCTCTATGCATGTGCTGCATAGAGGGCAACTCTCATCCTCCACTGTCAGCCCTAGGTGCTTGAGTCTATCTCTAGTGAGTAGTCTTCCTTGCCAACATAACCAGATTATCATACAATGCCTGGGAACACTGACTTTGTTCCACATGAATTCGGCCACTTTATGTTGCTGTTTGCTACCCTTCAACCACTTGAAACCTGATGCAATAATGTAGCTCCCTTGTCTCTGTGCTACCCATCTGTTCTGCCTGAAGCCATTTCTTAGCTTGTCCCTTATTAAAAAGGCTTTTTCCAGTGCCAGCTTGTATCATTCGCCGCAACAACATCTCACAATCCTGCATGCTTCAAGTAGACACCATGGATCCATTTTATCCACGAGTTGTCCTTTCCCTCTACTAATTCCCATATCTGCCTTCTCACTGTTGCCATATTCCATAGCTCTATATCTCTAATTCCCAATCCTCCATCCTTTCGTGATGAACAGACTTTGGCTCAAGCTAACAGGGTAATGATCTCCCAGACTCTTTTTTATCCCAGAGGAAATCTTTGCATATTCTTTCAATTTGCACCATAATACTTTTTGGAAGCAAGTATACTGTGGCCAAGTATGTTTGCATATACAACAGGACTGAATTTATTAGTTGGACTCTACCCATGTATGACAGATGTCTAGAAGCCCAACTCTTTAATATCACAGTTACTTTATCAACCAGACTTTGGCAATCAGCCTGAGACCATGCACCGGGAGATATTAGAAACCCGAGATATTTCATCGGGAATTTCCCCCTTTCAAACCCTGCTATAGCTTCAATTTTCTCCTTTTTTGCATATGAAACTCCTCCTAAATATATTTGTGACTTATGCTAATTAGCCACCAATCCAGTAGTGGTACCAAATTCTTCCAGCTTCCTCATTACAGTTTGCACCGAGGTTTCCTCTGCTTTGAAAACAATTATCAGGTCATCCGCAAAGCAGAGGTTGACAATTTGTAAAGATTTGAATTGAGGGTGAAGGCTGATGGTGCCTTTGGTAATTTCCTCCTTAAACAATCTAGTAAGGTATTCCATAACTAGAATAAAGAGCAAGGGTGATAGGGGGTCCCCTTCTCTTATTCCCCTTTTCTCTGGAAAAAAACCAGCCAAATTCCCATTAAGATTTAAGGAAAAAGAACACGTTATCACACATTGCAAGGTCCATTCAATGAATCTTTCTGGGAATCCATACCCTACTAATACTTTTTCAGAAAGGTCCAATCAACACTATCAAAAGCTTTCTTCAAGTCTGCTTTTAACAAGCACCTAGGAGAAACAACCTTTCTTCTATATAGCTTCACTAATTCTTGAGTTAACAAAACTTTGTGCTTAAAAGATCTCCCTTTAACAAAAGCACCCTGATTCAATTTTATCAACTCAGGCAGCACCTTACTTAGCCTATCACTCAGGATTTTTGTTATACATTTGTAAATAGAATTACAACAAGAAATAGGCCTATATTCACTAGCATTCTTAGGCGATATACACTTAAGAATGAGCGAAATTAGGGTACTATTTACCTATTGGAGGAGTCTCCTTTCTGAGCCAAATTCTTGCACAGTTGCTATCACATCTGGTCCCATAATATCCCAGTAGGCTCTAAAGAAGCTGCTTCCATAGCCGTCTAGACCCGGGCTCTTATTAGGATAGATATCTAGCATCGCCTTTTTTATTACCTTTGCAGTGAAATCCCTACACAATCTGATTTGCTCTGCCAAACTCACCTTGGGCCCTTAATCAAATACTAGCTGCCTGGAAACACCTCTGTGAGCTTCCACTCCTAAGAGATTTGAAAGAACTGGACAAAGTGTTTTTCTACCTCCTGTCAATCCTCTATTAGCTCCCCCTTTTCTGATTGATAAGATATGATTCTGTTTTTTGCTTTCTTTTCTTTCATCAGTGCATGAAAATAGCCACTGTTGGTGTCTCCTTGCTAGCACCACCTTTCTTTTGCCTTTTGCTCATGAAAACTTAGTACAGCTTTTCCCATTTCTACATATTCCTCCATGGCCATCTTTTCAAGTTCCTACAGCTGTACACTCATTGGATTAGCTTGCAGTTAAGTTTGTAGCTTCTCCAATTTCATTTGAGAGCTGCAGTATCTGCCTTCAACATCACTGTAGCATTTTCTATTCAGCTCTTTTAAAGGGCCTTTCAACATTTTAAGCTTCTTCATGAGTTAGAACTGTCTGGTGCCTGCGATTTCCTGACTCCAAGTCTGCTTCACTATATTCTTGAAATCTTTGTTTTCAGCCCACAGATTGTAGAACTTGAAGGGCCTTCTCCCATTTGCAGTTTTGTGCTTCCATCTAATCACCAGAGGGCAGTAATCAGAGATATTCTTTGGTAGAATCGTCACGTATGAGTCAGTGAATTCCATCAGCTATGTATCAGAGCCCAACACTCTGTCTAATCTACAACTTATCCTTTTGTCCCCCATTTGTTTGTTTGTCCAAGTAAAGGTCCCCCCTTAAGTCCTGATTTCTTGTAGTTGACAAGTATCTATCATCATCCAGAAGTCCCTCATCTCTTGGTTCCTGAATGGCTGACCACCAATCTTCTCTTCATTGTTGAGAATACAGTCAAAGTCTCCTGCCATGACCTAGGGTTTTCCTCTATCCTGTAATTGCATTAAATTTGCCCATAGCTCTGTTCTGTCACTTGGTGCATTCTTTGCATAGACTATTGTCATTATGTATTCTCTTTGTATCCCTTATCCATCACTTTACAGTGGATAAAATGATCTTTGATCATTAGAACGTCTACCACGTATTCCTCTATCTTCCACATAACCAATATTCTACCCTTCTGATTACCCATCGCATTTTCTATGTATCCATAGTTTTTCCACCACCTATTCATGATATCTCTGCTTTTCTCTGTTGTTAACTTAGTTTCTACTACTCCTACAATACCAACATTATGTGCCTTGATAATATTCCCCATCTCCTGCTGCTTCAGAGGGTGGTTGAACCCTCTGATATTCCATATCAATATATTACTCATATTATATGGGGATCAGGGTTCAGAGGTTCACCTGGTTCACTCTGTTTTTCACCCTGTTGTGGTAAGGTCACTGCACTTCTCAACGCCTTGCTAGGCTCTTTGATCATTCTAGGTGGTGTTGTGCTTACTTTGTCTCTATCTTGCTGAGGTTGGACCATGCGTAGATTTTGTTGAGCTTTACTCCCTTCTGGCCTTCTCTTTGGACTTTGATCTTGGTTTGGTGCTTCATTAGTCTGGTTATCATCCACCACTATCTCTTTTCCCTTCTTTTGTGTAACTGAGTCCTGCACAGTTGATGCCACCTCCATGTTTTTGGAGTGTGGTGTTTGTTTGTGCTGTCATGCTGGCTTCACTAGAGCTTTGCATTCTTTTTTGAGGTGCCCATACCCTTTACATTGAGTACATAGTACTGGTCTCCATTCGTAGACGAGTTTTTACTCTTGTATTCTGCCCTCTTCATTTATGAACACCACCTTCTCTGGTAGTTCTTCCTTGATTTCCATCTCCACAAGAACCCTTGCAAAACTTGCCCTCATTTTGTTGCAATTTATATCGTTCATTCGCTTTGGCTTACCTATTAATGACAGCATTTTACTCAAGGTGCTAGAGCTCCAGTATTTGAGCTCCAAATCTAGGAGCTGGATCCAAACAGGAACACTAAAGATATCTTCACATTTAAACCCTTCCTTGACCCTCCATTCTTTCACTATCAGTGATTTGCTATAGTAGTGTAGCACAGAAGCGAGCGCCATCTGCTTGGCATGCTCAGTTTTTAGTTGAACTATGAAGTACCCTTCTTCTCTTCTCAGTATTTTCTCAATTCCCAGCTTCCCCCAAATACGGTATGAGAACTTTGTCATTAGTTGGTAAGGAAGATTCACCCCCAACAGATAGCATACGACTGAATTCTTCTAGTATTCAAGTTCACTTTTAAAATTATCATAATATAGGGTACCTTCTGATTCTCAACCTCTACTGGCTCTATATACTCTAAATCAGGACTCGGAGGTTTCAATTTTTATCCAATTCAAAAGATACCCACCCTTCATCTGTCTTCTTTACTATTTTTCCCCCCCTCTTCCCCCATTTTCCTAGGGTTGACTTCCCCAGATGCACATTCTTTGGAAATTTTTAAATCAGAACTCGAAAGATTTGGACTTACTTGCTTGGATTCACTACACGATGCTTTGGATTCCACCAGAGATGGCGAAAGTCCTGCTGCAATTTCTCCTCTCTGTGATTCCTCTTCTGATTGTTCGTCTTCAAAACTCTTCATTCCCGTGGTCACAATCAGTTTTCCATGGTCCAGATCTTTCTTTTTACTCTCCTTGTTGCTTAGTTTGCCTGCTTTTTTTGCCACAGTATCTCCTCGGCCTCGTCTTTTGGCCATCGCCGGTGTTGGTTGGGAGAAACGCCTAGAGAGGAGGAGGAGATAGATGTGACGTCAGCATTCTAGAGAGATGTTTTTTTAGATTGAATATATAATGTTATTTGATTTTTTATGGGTATATTAAAAAAAAAGAGTTAAGTGATGTTATAATGTCGAACTTCTGGTTTCTTCACTGGCACTAAGACCCCAAAATGGTTTGGACTGGCCCTGATAACAAACATGATAATTATTTTGGGATAGAGAGAATATATACATATAACTATTGGAATTATATCTAAGCTTTGATGGTAATTTATGAAAAGGAATGTCTACCTCCTCAATATACTATTCGAAACGTCTATACTCTTGCTCCCGCTAGCTAGCAAATTCTGGGCCATCCCATCTTGTTCACTAATTAAGAGCCTGGTAAAGAATTATCATCATCAATAAAAAAGACGCATGAGAACTAAATGCACAAAGAATTTGTTACTTTTTACAAAAAAAAAAAAAAAGCAAAAAGAATTTGTCGAAAATGAAAATTGGTTGGATTAGTACAAATAAAGATGTCGCAAAGATCGAGCACGCGACCTCAGTGTATGTTCTGTAACTAAACCCTGTTACTCAACGAATGAAAGGGTGAAATGAAGCAGCCATCAGCTGAGTTTTCTTATCAGAATTATGCTTTGATCTAGGAGATTGATCGGAGACTAAATTAATATTAGATAGGGACTTAATTGACATAATATATAAATACTACTCCTTAATTGTATAGTTGACTAGTTGACCGTATTTATTAGTTAGTTAATCATTATTTAGGGTTGTATAAATACGGTATATGCTTGATGATCAAGTTTACAACTTTCAAAAATACGTATTAACAAGTTTTTCCCCAATTTGATCGATCATGTCTTCTCTCTCTCACATTCATCAAACCCTAGCTAATCGTTTGATGGTAACAGAGCCATAGGCTCGGTACTGTTAAATCGAAACGGTAATTTTTCTTCTCCTTATCTTCCTAAACAGATTCACCATTCGTTTTTCCTGTTTTAGCTTGTAGTTATGGCAGATCGAGAGTTCAAAGAAAATCTGCGAATGCAAGGGGCTCGTGGCAATGGCGGTTGGAGATCTCAAGATGATGCTTTGAATCTTCACGCGTCCGAGCATCCTGGTATGAAGCTTGTTTCAATTTCACTCACGGACACAAATTACCTTGTCTGGAGTCGTTCTATGCGTACAGTTCTTGAATCGAAGATGAAAATTGGCTTCATCGACGGTACATGTGTAAGTCCTACACCTTCCTCTCCTGATTTTCATCAATGGAAGCGTGTTGATTTGACTGAGGAATTGATGCTCTTAGTGAAGATGAGTTTGATAGCTATATGTACAATCTGTTTGCACAAGAGCTTTGGGAAAATTTGACTGAGGAATATGGCACTTCCAATAGTCAGACTTTGTATCGAATGAGGAAAGAGTGTATTGCTATTGTGCAGGGAGATATGCCTTTGATAAAATACTATAGTGCTTTGAAACATGTTTGGGATGAATACGCCCATTACAGACTGTTCCCTGAGTGTCCACCTAATGTTGCTAAAGTGTTAGAGGCCAGGGATAATGAAGATAAACTGATTGAATTCTTGATGGGACTTAACAAGTGTTATGAGACTAAGAAAGACCAGATTCTCATGATGGATCCACCACCTATTGTTACTAAGGTTTATAATATGTTAAACAAAGTAGAAAAAAAAGTATCTGAGTCTGTTGAAGTTCCTCTGATAAATAACTCTGCACTTATTGCCAAAGGTGGTGATCCAAGGATGAGTAATCAAGTATCATATGCAAGTAATGAGGCTACAGATAATGCTGCTTTTATGGCTAAGTCTCAGGGTTTAAACAGGAGAAAAAAGCTTGTTGACCATACAAGATTTTGTACACACTGCCAAAAGTATAACCATGAAAAGGAAAATTGCTGGAAGCTCAATGGTTTACCAGAATGGCTGCAAGAAAAGAAGAACGCTTAGAAAGTTTCTAAGGGACAGATTGTGAAGAATTTTGCACACATTGCTAGTGCAGAGACACCTATTGATGCATTAAAGTCTTCTCCTCATTTTGATGTGAATGCCATTGCTCTGTAACTCAATCATCTTCAACAAGAGCAGGATGCTCAAAGGAAAGGGGCCAGTTGATCATCATTCTGTCAACTTTGCACACTTGGCTGATTTTGCAGGTAGCACTACAATACCTAAGCTGTATAATGTTTGCAAAGCTCTTTTAAGTCTTTGGTTCCTTGATACTGGTGCCACAGGAAGTATGTGTCATGATCTTTCTCTTCCTTTAAAACAAAAACCTGTTACTTGTCTGACTCCTATCATTTTACTTGATGGAAGTATCCAATATGTAGAGCAAATAGGTTCTGTAGAGCTGAGCCATAGGATCACACTTTCAAATGTTCTATATGTGCCAACTTTCAAGTACAATCTTATTTCTGTGAGGTCCTTAGCACAATTAGCAAAGTTGTACTTCACATTTTCTGTTGAATTGTGTGTTATACAAGACCATAGGACTAATAATATCATTGGAGTTGGTACAATCTTCCAAGGACTTTATGTCCTTACACCAGATTCTTTCAATCCAAGTGAAGTCGGGAGACAAGTTCAACTTCATCTGCCTTGTTTGCTGCTTCATTCTGTCATTCCTTCTTCAAATACTATCACTACAAATTGTAATAATGCCACAATAGCTTTGAATGGCCAATGGCATCAAAGATTAGGTCATCCTTCTTTTGCTGTAACAAAGCAACTTCTTCATAGTTTGAATCTTGATGTAAATAATGAGTTTTGCTGTGAGATCTGTCCCCTTTCTAAACAACAAAGACATGTTTTTCCTTCCAGCCATATTCATACTACTTCATGTTTTGAGCTTATACATGTGGATCTTTGGGGTCTTTATTCACATCTAAATCTTTCTCAAACTCATTATTTTGTAACCATTGTGGATGATTATAGTGGATGTACTTGGACCTTTCTGATTAGATATAAAACTCAAGTACTTCAAACACTTGATAGTTTCTTTGCTATGACTAATAATTAGTTTCAGCAAACAGTCAAAACTATTAGGACAGATAATGGAACAGAATTCATCAATCATAACTGCCAACGTTTGTTTTCTAAGCTTGGCATTTTACATAAGAAATCTTGTGCATACACACCTCAACAAAACAGTGTTGTTGAAAGAAAGCACAAGCATCTACTTCAAGTTGCTAGATCACTTATGTTCCAAGCATCGCTACCTCAGAAATTCTGGGGAGATGCAATCTTGACAGCTACATACTTGATAAACAGACTACCCACAGCTCTTTTAGGCTGGAAATCACCTTTTGAAGTATTGTTTCAGTCTATTCCTTCTTGTGATCATCTTAGAACTTTTGGTTGTATGTGTTTCTTTACTAACAACGAACCACATAAAGATAAATTTTCTCCTAGAGCTTTTAAGGGAATTTCCATTGGGTATCCAACATGTCAAAAGGCCTATAGGGTGTACTGTCTAGATGATCACAAAGTCCATATTTCAAGGGATGTAGTGTTTAAGGAACATGTTTTTCCTTTCAATAGTGTCAATGCATCCTCTCAGTTTTCAGTACACGTGATCACACACATGGATGATCTTTCTGATATCTCTGTTCCTTATCCTAATACAGAAATTCCATCATAAACTCCATCTTCTTCCATACAACAAAACTCTAATATATCTCATCATAATCCTTCTTCCATATCTTCACCTTCTTCTTCATCTCCAACTACTAGTCCTCCTCATAGGTCACCTGTTATCTCATCACCATTTGTACCACCTGTCAGGAGAATCAGTACAAGAGTCAAGCAAAAATCAGTGTGGCTTAATGATTATGCTACTTTTGTTACTCAGCCTTTTTTTACACCACCTCAAACATTTCCTTTTATCAGTAATTCTACCATTTCTCCTTCACATTTGTCATTTCTACCAATATTTCCAAGATCCATGAACCATATTCCTATGCACAAGCACAAAGTCAACCAGAGTGGGAAGATGTTATGCATAAGGGATTGCAGGCTTTAGAGGAGAATGAGACTTGGACTATAACTACACTTTCTCCTTCCAAACGAGCAATTGGATGCAAATGGGTGTATAAAGTCAAGTATCATCCAAATAAAACTGTTGAAAAGTATAAAACCAGACTTGTGGCAAATGGATATACTCAAATTGAAGGGGAGCACTACTTAGAATCCTTCTTTCCTGTGGCAAAGATTGTCACTGTCAGAGTTCTCTTTGCTCTAGCAGCTGCAAAATAGTGGCATATTCACCAGTTGGATGTGAATAATGCTTTTTTTCATGGTTATCTGAATGAATAGGTATATATGCAAGTTCCGCCTAGCTATTCTCAGGCACAACCAGGTCAAGTACTTAAATTGAAGAAATCTCTATATGGTTTGAAGAAGGCCTCTAGACAATGGAATCAGGAGTTCACCAAGCAACTTGAAACTTATGAATTCAAACAAGCTTTTGCTGATCATTGCCTTTTTATAAAGCAAAGAGCTGACCACTTTCTGGTTTTGTTGGTTTATGTTGATGATGTACAGATTACATGTTCATCTGAGTCTCATATCATTGCTATCAAGGATTTTTTTCATGTAGCATTCACCATCTAGAATCTTGGTCCTGCAAAATATTTCTTTGGTATAGAGATAGCCAGATCAGAAACAGGCATCATCCTCAATCAGAGAAATTTTGCTTTGGATATTCTCTAACAGGTAGGTCTTACTGGTTGTAAGTCAGTTAATACACCATTGCCTAAGGGTATCAATCTACAGTATGATCAAAGTCCACCTCTCTCTTCCCCAGATCAGTATAGAAGACTGGTGGGTAGATTGCTCTATCTAGGTGTTACCAGACCAGACTTGACTCATGCTACTCAGCAGTTAAGTCAATTTGTTCAGAAGCCTCTACAAATTCACTGGAATGCAGCTCAACATGTTCTTAAATACTTGAAAGGAGCTCCTTCTCTTGGATTATTCTATCTAAGTTCTTCTGATCTTCAGCTCACAGCATTCAGTGATGCTAATTGGGGTCAATGCAAAGCCACCAGGTTCTCCCTTTCTGGTTACTACATCTTTCTGGGAAATGCCTTGATTTCTTGGAAGACTAAGAGGCAAACAACTGTTTCCAGATCTTCATGTGAAGCTGAATACAGGAGCATGGCGTCTACTGTGTGTGAGCTCTAATGGCTTTCTTACTTACTAAAGGATCTTCAAGTTCCATTATCACTTCCTATACCTTTTGGAGGTGATAACAAGTCTGCCCTGCATATTACAGAGAATCCTACTTTTCGTGAACGTACCAAACATTTAGATATTGATTGTCGTGTTGTGAGAAATCAGTTCAAAGCTGGTTTCATCCTTCCTCTCTATGTGGCCTCAAAATGTCAACTGGCTGACATTTTAACCAAGACTCTTCACCCTTCACCTTTTTTCTTCTTGCTGTCCAAGCTGAGCCTTGTTGATCTTCATTATCCACGGCCTCAGCTTTGGGGGGGAGGGGGGATCAACGAATTAAAGGGTGAAATGAAGCAACCATCAGCTAAGTTTTCTGATCAGAATTATGCTTTTGATCCAGGAGATTGATCAGGGACTAAATTGATATTTGGTAGGGACCTAATTGACATAATATGTAAATACTAGTCCTTAATTGTATAATTGACTAGTTGACAGTACTTATTAGTTAGTTAATCATTAGTTAGGGTTGTATAAATACGGTATAAGCTTGATGATCAAGTTTACAACTTCCAGAAATACATATTAACAAGTTTTTCTCCCAATTTGATCGATCATATCTTCTCTCTCACATTCATCAAACCCTATCTAATCGTTTGAGTTACAACTTACAACTTCAACAATAGGTGTAAGTTCTTCTAAACCCCAATTTTGAATTTGAACGAGAAATATATACTTCTTTAGATACTTTGTGAGACTAAATTAACTTTTTTTTTTTAATGAAAAAGTTACAAAACAAAGCTAAAGAATCTTGTTCACGATATTCCGTTTGATGTAATTATACAGGGATCTTTTGACTTGTCATTCTTTACAATAGGGTGCTGCCAAAAGTACTTTATAATTAATTAAATGATTCCGTTCAATAATTTATATTCTTTGATGTTTACTTTTATTCAGGGAATTCTTTTCCAATTAATTTATGCCCTCATTGTCTTGCCACCCAATACTGAATTCTAATGATAATGATGACAATAACATAAAAACAAAAAACGAGGTTGGATTTTTTTTTTTTTAAAAAACAATTAGGAACCACTTAAAAGAAGGCTGAGTATGTCCTCTATCTAATCAATAATGAGACCTAATCTCACTGATGAAATTACTTGGTGAAACATTACTTATGCAGATGAGTTAAATCAAATTTATAATTTTTCTTGGCCAAAATCTTGGAATAAATTTTAAAAATAAAAAATTATAACTCTTGTTATCGTTCTAACTAATTTATTAAACACATGTAATAAAAAATGCAACGTAGTATTTTAATAGTCTAATTTGTTAAATTATGAAATAATATAATTGATAAAACTATAAAATGGAACTGAGAGAGAAAAAACATACTCTAACTGTCCCATAATTTTGACGTTCAAAAGCCAGCAGACAAATTGGTTAGATATACACAACAGAATCACCTTAAAAACATCGAGAGATTCTTTGATGTGTTTACTGCTTTTCTTCTCTTCAAGTTTACTAAAATTTCTCGCATAATCTGAGTAGAGATTGCGAATTGAAATGAGTAAAAGATACGATTAGAAATACGCATCCTAAATAAATCCTTTTGTCTTGTACGAGTAAAATAAATAAACGTAAAATTTATTTATTCACCAAATGCCTGAAAAATGCAAATCTGTGTCATAATTTACCCAAATTCCCGATAAAATCATAAACTCATCCCTTCTTCCGTCACTACTTTTCACGCAAAAAAAAACGCACGTTTCTCACTCTTTTTATTCTGTCTCTCTACACACATTCGCTTTCTCTGCGCCCTCTTTAATGTTTGTTCTTTAGCAGATTAGCTTGGCATTGAAAGCAACCTTGGTACTGGTCATCCCTTTTTCTGTTTTTCTTTTTTTTTATATATATATATAAATAATTTATTATTTTTCGAAATCCTTTTCCCTTTAAAGTGTGTTATTTTACTGCTGCAATTGATTTTATTAGAGATAAAAAGGAGTAGTATGCTCCACAGCTTCAGTCCACATTATTGATTATTGTAGATTTTATTAGGCTCATTTCACGACAACCATTGTCTTATTTCGATTTCCGTGCACATTGTTAGCAAGACACACAGAGGGGATTTGGTTTCTGGGTTTTTCTTAATTTTTGTTTTAGTGTATATGTCTGAACTGAGACGATTACGTCTGCAATTTTTAGATTCTGAATCATTGGCATTCAGCCCTTTTTGTTGTTAGGGCTCTCAGTGTAGTCAATGTGGAGTCTTTTAATTGCGGTTGATTAAATTTGGTTGCTGGGTTCATTTTGTTTGCTGTTTTGTTTGAATGAATTTAAGTCCCGCCACTTAGAATCAGTCACTTATGCTGCTTTCTTTTTTCCACCCATATTTTGGGTTGTCATTGCTCTAATCCAGTTTTAATCTACTGCCCAGAAGCTGATTTCTTGCGTTATTGGATGAAAAGTTCCTGTTTTTGTTAAAGGGCCCTCTTCAAAAATCCTTTGCTTGAAGATATTTGGAAGTTTAGGTGGTGTATTTCGTGTGTTTATCATAGGTTCTTCTTGATCATTGGCGGTTCTTGAATTTGTATTTTACATCTTGGGTTTTGGTTTTTAAGTTTGTCCCCTTCATTTCCGGGACCAGTGATTTGTACTCCAGAAGCTCAGAATGGGACCAAAAAATGTAAAGGAAGCATCACTACAATTGGAGCTGAGTACAGAGTGAGGGTTTGGTTGAATTAGTGTTCATCATTTTTGAATTCCAATTGTGAATATCAGTAGAAGAATGGGGTTCGCCACCGCCAATATGAACTTGGGCGATTCAAGATCCAACAACAAGGTAAAGAAAGATGAGGAGCTCGATGCTGTACAGGCAGGGTGTTGGATGAAGTTGAGATTCTTGGGGAGTTGCATGTCGCCGAGGCCCAAGGTTGATAGCTCTGTCAGTGGCTCCAGCACACAGCTAGGTACTGCAAAGTCTTGCTGTTTCTATTAGCTGCCAGAGTAAATTGTGTCAAACATTTTGGGGTCTATGATTATTAGTCCTCCTGCGCTAAGCTGATTTTTCTATTATTCGGTACTTTTTTTGGTAGTTGTTCTTTGGTTGTGGATACTAAAATGGATGGTGTACTGAAACTATAGTTTTTACTTGAAATGCATTGTTTGCATGCACCAAGTCATGTCATCTTTGCATTAATAAGGAAATTCAGTTCGTAATGGAAGTGTATTGTTTGTTTGTTCCAAGTCCTGCAGAGGTGGTTTGGTCTCGTTTGTGGTTCCATTTATTTGGGAAATGTAGATGAATAGGCTTTGCCTGTAGCAAATGTAACGAAGAGATTTACTTGCATTTAGTTAGAGATGGTACCAATGCAATATATAGTAATTAGGCGAATTGTTCCTCACACGGTTTTGCTATTAAGGACAGATTCCAAGTAGTCAGCAGAATAGCTTCGCTTTAGGTTGTGTCCGCTTATTTGTGTGGCTTTTTATAAGTGTAGTTGGGTGGGGGCCTTGGTGGATGGCGTTAATTAGCTTGGATCATTTAATTTTGTTAGTCTTAGAATCATTATTGTCTTCCCCTGGCCATACATGCTATCCTTTTTAGAGTACACATGTAATTAGGAAGCTTCATTCTTGCCTTGGTTTCTGTGTAACGTGGTTAAGGGTTTGAACTGTTTTCTCTATGCGTATAAGAATTGGAATTCTTGTTTGGATTGTATGCACTTGTGCTTATTGCTGTTGTTCTTTCCTTTACTGATTTGTTACAGAAGAGAGCAAATCGTCTAATGACACGAGTAGAGAGCAGACTGTTGCTCCAGTTATGTCATCTTCTAGCACCAGTGATGCAGAAAGTACTCCCTCCACTCCTAAAGTAACAGAAGAACTGAAAATTGCTTCTCAGCTTCGGAAATTCTCCTTTAATGAGCTGAAGACAGCCACACGAAGTTTTAGATCAGATAATCTACTTGGTGAGGGTGGCTTTGGTTGTGTTTATAAAGGTTGGGTCAGCGAAAATGGTTCAGCATCGGTGAAACCTGGTTCAGGAATTACAGTTGCAGTAAAGACCTTGAATCATGATGGACTTCAGGGTCACAAAGAGTGGTTGGTATGTTCCTAGCTATTCTATGTCTCAAGGATTGTTCTGTATTTATTCCTCACATCCTCACGTCACTGGTTCTATTTTCTAGGCTGAAGTAAATTACCTCGGTGATCTTCTCCATCCCAATCTGGTTAAATTAATTGGATATTGCATTGAAGGTGATCAAAGGTTGCTCGTTTATGAGTTCATGCCACGTGGAAGTTTGGAGAATCACTTGTTCAGAAGTATGTATTATGTTCCTTTCCCAATATCTCCATTTCATTTGCAACATCATAACTGGCTACTTCAATAATACTGAATGATATGTAGTTGTTTTGGAAACTTTGTACCATGGTCTTGAATTTGTCAGCCTTTTAAGATCAGTTGTTAGAGAATCAACAAAGACGTGCTCTTTTTTTCCTGTAAGTTGAGCGCAGATGGTGGTAAAAGCCATCCTGAAACTCTGTTTCAGCAGTGACGCTTGCAATAATTACTTTGCAAATTTCTGTTTTCAACGCACAAAAAGATAAAAGTTTATGTGATTTAATGTTTTAAGTTTGGAGAACGAGATATTCTTGTCTTTGCGACTGATAGGTTGTGAAGATGTCAATCAGTTACCGTTCCTTTCTGTATTCCACCTCATTGTTTTGACAATTTCTTTAAATGGAAATATCAATGTGTTCTGGATTCCACTTGTTTATTGTTTTGACAACTTATTTAAATGTAAATGTGAATTTATCTACTGTTTTTGCCTAAAAACATGTCTATCCTTGTTATGATTGGTTAATGATGAAATACCTTCTCTTTCTGGCATCATTTTCCTTTTCGCTAATGAACTGATGAATTGCCTCCAGGATCCTTACCTCTTCCGTGGTCTATCAGACTCAAGATTGCTCTAGGTGCTGCAAAAGGTCTAGCCTTCCTTCATGAAGAAGCTGAAAGGCCTGTAATTTATCGAGATTTTAAATCATCCAACATCCTGTTAGACACGGTAAATGTCTGAAACTTGAAAGGAAATAGTTGGTTTTTATTATCTTAACACTAACTGTCTCCTTAAACTTTTGCCTGAAGGAGTACAATTCAAAGCTTTCTGATTTTGGACTTGCCAAAGATGGCCCTGAGGGAGACAAGACTCATGTTTCCACGCGAGTAATGGGAACCTATGGCTATGCCGCCCCTGAATACGTAATGACAGGTAGCATGAATTGATTACAGGTTCAGCTTCATTTTCTTTCAATATTTGCTGTTACAGCTGCATTTGTTGTTCCAGCTTTGTCCTTCTTAAGTAATACAAATGTTACATGCAAGCGCTGCCACGATTCAAGTATTATATGCACTGACACAATTCATTCTTTTTGAGCCAGGACACCTTACATCAAAAAGTGATGTTTATAGCTTTGGAGTGGTTTTGCTTGAAATGCTCTCAGGTCGGAGGTCAATGGATAAAACAAGACCAAATGGGGAACATAATTTGGTGGAATGGGCCAGACCTTATCTAAGGGACAGACGTAGATTTTACCGGCTGATAGATCCCCGCCTTGAAGGGCGATTTTCCATCAGAGGTGCACAGAAGGCCATTCAACTGGCTGCTCGTTGCCTCAGCCGTGATGCAAAAGGCCGTCCTCTGATGAGTGAAGTAGTTGAAATCTTGAAACCGCTTCCAGACCTGAAGGACATGGCTTGTTCCTCATCATACTTTTTGGCGCTGCAGGCGGAGCGTCCAAGTAGTAACTTAGCCATTAGAAATGGTGCTAAAGAGGAGGTTGCTTTGCTGGAGAGGAGTCATTCAGTGCTGAACACCCCAAATGGTCCACAATTGGCCTCCCCCCGGCAAAACTTTATTCTTCAATCACCAAAACATTAGTAGTCCTATCTGCAGTTGCAAAATACTATTCTATTCCTTCATTGGTCCTTTTGTCAAGGCGAGAAATCATCGAAAAAGTCTGAATTTTGAACTTCCCAATGAGGAGTAAAGTTTCTGAAATGGATTCCAGGTTCATGTTCTGAGTTTTGGAGTATAAAACTGGAGGAAACCTCATGAAGAGAGATGCTCTTCTGGTGTACAGCATGTGTTTTTCCATGACTGAAGATTTTGTAGGCATTGGGTAGTTCTTTGTTGTCATCTTTTTCTCCTCTCATGGAAGTTTATATGTCAGATTTTGCCGAATATCAGTTATTTACATGTTAATGTGGAGTTTATAGATCTAAGTAGTATAGTAGTAATTCGCAAAAAAAATAAATAAATAAATAAAATGCAACCCAAATATAGGACATGAAAGTGTCATGTCTAATTTCGACTAGCGATAAAAATTTGTGACGCTCCATCGTATGATCCCCTTTTCTTAAACTCATTTATGGGGAATTTGATAAATTTTCTTGTTGCACTATTGAGAACAGTGAGTAGGCAACTGATGTGTGAACTGAAAATGTCTTCATGAGATAAGTTTAGATTAGTCAAAAGAGTTAAACATGCTCTAAGCCTGGATTAGGTACCGACTTCTTAGGCGAATGAGTAAAGAAGGGCTAGCAATTGAGCCCAAACAAAAGAATATTAGGACCTGAATGCGTTCCTTCAAGCCCAAAATCCAGTTGGGCCTTTCCCAATGAATATAGTATCTGTTTGTCCTGATCGGCGATCGGCTGCGGTCGAGTGAGGTGGTCTTACGTTAAAACCTCAGAGCAGTTCAGACGGGATGACGACGACACTCTAAATTACGAATCGTTCCGAACTCTCCAGTCCGTGCGAATGCATCGTCATTATAGGACACCAATTCTCCTCACCGGAAACATCAAATCGTTCTACTCCGGGTATTAAATTATGATTTGTGTTTACTTTTCGGTGTGATCATCGGGGATTCTGCCTTCCGTTTTATGTTAAATTGTTAATGGGTACTATCAATTTGCCATGTATTTGGGAGCTTTTGTCCTTCTGCCTATGATTTGTGTTTTGTGCAGAATTTAGCGATCGGCGATCTTGTAAGTGACGGTTTTTGCGAAGAAAAAATGGTGCTGGTGTTGGCAATTGGGGATCTTCACATCCCAAATAGAGCACCTGACCTTCCAGCCAAGTTCAAGTCCATGCTTGTGCCCGGCAAAATTCAACACATCATTTGCACTGGCAATCTCTGCGACAAAGTAATATTAGTTAGCTCTCGCTTGCCTTCCTGTTTTGCTTCCCTTTGAATTGTATGACAACTACTGCAATTTATTTTGGATTGGGTTTTTTGGATGACCTGTTTGGCTCTTGATTCAAATACAGTAATAAGAATGCATGTCATTAAGTTTAGTTTAGCTTTTGTAATGGAACTGCTACTGTGCTGTCATCAGATATGAATTTGAAAGCTTTCGAAACAGCAGTCTGAACCTATGGTGCTAGAATTTAGTTGATAGTTGATAGTTGATATTTGATGGTCTTCTCTCCTATCCAGGAAGTTCATGATTACTTGAGAAACTTGTGCCCGAGTTTGCACATTACTCGGGGTGAGTACGATGAAGATTCCCGATACCCAGAGACAAAAACACTCACCATTGGACAATTTAAGCTCGGGTTATGCCATGGTCACCAGGTTAGAATTTTGTTCCCTTTTCATCATATTGAAGCAGTTGAAACTTACACCAATTAGCCATAAAAGTTGCTCAGAATTAAAAACAGGAAATTTCATTTCTCTAGCCCTGACTATCATTTTCCACATCAGCAAGTGCTGAACTGAATCTTTTCCTGTTATCACCCTGCTCTCTTCCTTCTACGAAGCCATATCTTTCTCAATTCAGTGTATTTCCAGAATTCATCTGTTAACTTTCTGGTTTTCTCTTTTCTAAAGGTTGTCCCTTGGGGAGATCTTGATTCTCTCGCTATGCTTCAGAGACAGCTAGATGTAGATATTCTTGTTACTGGTCATACTCACCAGTTCAAGGCCTATAAACATGAGGCTGGAGTAGTCATAAATCCTGGATCTGCAACGGGTGCCTATAGCAGTATCACCTATGATGTCAACCCAAGCTTCGTCCTCATGGATGTTGATGGCCTACGTGTTGTGGTGTATGTCTATGAACTCGTTGATGGAGAGGTGAAGGTCGACAAGATAGACTTCAAGAAGACGAGTACATCACCATGAATTCTACCCTAACTTTTGCTTCAGATGTTAAGTTTTCAGCTCTCGATAAAATCTCTCGCCCTTGTTCCTTTCTTTTGACCCTAGCCCTAAACTCCTGATTGTAGTTATTCAGTCAAAATTGTGCATCCTGGTTTGTACTGTCCTCTGTGAATTGCATGGAAAGATGACCAAGGTTATATAAAAGCTGATATTCTTATCTGCGGCCTGAGTAAATTATGCCTTACATAGACTTGTGTGTGAATATGTACCAAATGGCAATGAAAAGCGCTATTGGCAACCATTGTTAAGTAACAATATTTACAAAATTCTGGCCAAGGACCATGAGTTTGGCAGGGTATCTTTTACAAAATGAACTATATTCGCAATCCTTAACAATGTAAATCCTTTCCAGGAAAAAAAAAAAAAAAAAAAAGACACATTGCCTATCAACTGGAATGTAGCATCCCCAAAAAGTCACTTACTTTTCCACAATGAATTCTTCTATTTCTATCCCCGTGTGCCGGGCACCTCCCTGTACTCTTACAAGAATCTCATCTCCAACCTTGAGTGATGTTACAGGAATGGCAGTGCCTAGGTTTCCTCGTCCTGAAGATACAATGTCCAGAGTATTAGGAATAGAAAGATGCATGATATATGTCGAAAATTTAAATTAAGTTTATGAAAGAAAGACTGAATTTAATAAGCTTTACCTCCAGCAGGGGAAACTAACGCAACCGTTTCAGCATTCTGTAAGAGAATGCTATAAGTTTGATCTACTGAATCTATCTGTAGCAACAAAATCATAGACGCCCATTAACAGCGAGATAAAAGGAAGAAAAGTTCTACTAAAATGATGCATCTTAGTGGTTGGAAAAGATTAATACATACCTTCGACTCAACAAGGACTAATGGCCTAGTCTCTATCTTCACACGTCCAACAATAGCAGTTCGTTGCATACCCCTTTGATCAACCACAAGCACCTCTTTTCCTGCTTTTAGCTCAGAGAGGTAGCTAGTCTTGTTCCCCGGAATTGCAACATAGGCATGTACTGGGCCCTGAATATATAAAAGCAAATGTAAGAGTGTTTATATACAGTCAACTTAAGATGGAGGATTGCGATGAAGCTCAAACTGAGATTGGAAAGTGCATTCCAAATAACTTGAACAATTGAATTAGACCCAATATATTTTATTGGGGACTAAAGATGATAAATTGCATTGACAAAATTTTCAAAGGCTATCTCTCAGCTCTCCTGCTCACTACATATAATCCAATCATACGAAGCTTAGAACTTACGGCATTAACTCGGAAAGGCCTGCTAGAAATGTAATTAGACTCTTGGCACTCCGAATGCACTAGAAAGAGCCCTCTAGCAAATGAGCCAACCTTAATTTAAGAGGAAAAAGAAGAAAAAGAAAAATGCATTACAAAGATATTCCAATTTAGGCCTCAGAGAAACAAATGAAGCCGAAATCTCAGACCCAAGTGTGAGAGCAAACCAGAAGGCCTTCACCAGGTCTCATGAGACTACAGAGATCCACACAAACACGATCTCCCATTCCACTCATTTGCACTTTGGTGACAGTGGCCTTACTCAAGTTCAGTTGATTCGCTGCTTCAGTTCTTCTGTCAAAGTAGGCCTGATAGTATGCACCATTATAAGGACAAGATAAGCATAATAAAGAACAGTTGCAGTAGCTGGGCTGTAGCAATAACCTTCAAATCCAAAACGGCTTTAGGATCCTCAACTTTTAAGATCACACCACCTAAGCCGAGCTCTAAGGCCTGACAAAAAGGAACAGCAATCAAGAAAAGGTTACTCCTTTCTTAATTAACATTTGTTTACAGGATTGAAACCCTTCTTCAACATAATTTACACAAGGCTGAAAAATTCTATGTATCCCTAAATTATTTCCATAAGCATGAAGCCCATGGTCATTCTACCAGCTAAAAATCTCTTCACTATGCGAACTTAACATCTGTTTTCAAACATAGGTTTCAGAAACTACCTCAAGAAACATACGTGCTTCACATGGTGTTTTGGAGATGGCCAACACTTTCCTTTCAGAACCTTGAAAAGCTGCAACAATATTCTCAGCAGGTATCACCTACACAGTAAAAATCAAAACTTAGTTTATTTGGATAGATACAGGACAAGACAAGTAGTCAATCTAAGTATGCTACACCAACTAATGAACGAGTTGGATTCCAAATATATCATCTATAGAGAAACAAATCTAAAAAAGGACATTGAACTGACATCAGTAAACAGAAGGAAGAGCTAACCTGCCAGTCTAAAAGATTAACAACAACATTCTCAGCCAGATGATCCACTTGTTGGAGCTTTTCTAATTGCTGAGGAGAGGCGATGTCATACCATCTCGCAATTCGATTATCCTCGCTGTCCAAAACTTCTCCGGCTTCGACGAAAAGCGGGCATAGCAAAGCAATTGCTTCACAATCATACATAGCAGTTCAAAAAACAAACTAAATAAATGAATAAAAAGAACATTGGGGTCTCATTACAGAAAGAGAAAATAGAATAATGATTATACATTGTACATGAAATAACTACAGTAGATGAAGAATTTATAGGGCTTTGTGCATATAATTTCGAAATTGAGACCAAAACTTCAAATTCATCTGAGATTGGGGGGAAGAAATAGTCTGACTCACATGACCATTCATCAGCAAGGTCTCGATGATTCGAGGAGAAAACGAAAGTGTTCCAGCCTCTCTCCACGGCGATGGTCATAACTTCTTTGTTCTCAGTCCATATCCACACCAATTTCTCCTTCTGGCCCCATTTTGAATCAAGTCCAACTGCATCCCTTCCACTGTTATTACCGGAACTAGCACACATTGCATTGGGCGAACGAAGGTTGCGGAAACCGTATGCCCTTTTGAATTTGACCGAATTAGACCTTGCATAAGCATCGAATTTCAATCCATAATCAACGAATCTGCAACAATCCCAGTTGAGTATAGATGCTTTCACAAGCTTGTTCACGCAATCTATTGGCAGATTTTGCATAAGCTTCGTTGAGAGTAATGGGTTTTCAACGTAGTCGGCGTGGGTAGTTTTTGCGGGTGGAAAAGAGTGATCTTTTGTACAATACTACCGGATTGAAGGTAACAAGCTGAAGAGTGATGAGTGGAAGACGACCATAGAACAGAAGAAACCAAGAAAAATGCTTCGCCACGGTAAAACTTTTTCTTTCAGGATCGACTATCAAGCATTTTACTTATGCTATAAAAAAGGCGTGCTACTGAGTGCAGAGACTAGACTCACGCCTTTTCCGCCAAATGGAAATTCCCTGTATAGTGAAAGAGTGAACACATTGCTTATTATTTATTTATTTTTTTTTGCAAATAGCCGAGAATCGAATGCTTGACCTCTTGGTAATAATCATCCTACATCTTAATCTTGTGAATATATTACTAATTGCTTTGCTACCATAAAATACAAAACAAATATTTTCTCATTAGTCATCATTTTCGTAAGCTTCTCTAAAGTGAGGAACAAGTTGATGAAACAAATTTTAATAAAAATAAATATTTTTGTACATTTTATATTGATACGGATAAATTCAAGAATAATAATACAAGGAACCGGCATTGTGATTAAAACTAAATTGTTAACTCTTCCAATGAATTTTTGGATAGTATTTAATTATTAGCAGTGTCATGAACACCGAAACCAAAAACCACGTAAAGATTTTGTGAAAATTGGTTACTTAAACGTCAACATGATTTTACTAGCATGAACAAATGGCGAAAAATGTTACAAAACAATGTATTTTGGAATTTTTCGTTGGAACACCTTTTGTGTCTTTTACATTGATACATAAAAATAAAAGATTATTACAGAGAACCAATGTGCATTGTAACACTAAAAAGGGTGGTTTTTTTTTGTTTGTTTTTTTTAAGACAACGATCAAGTAGCAAATAGAAGACACGGGATCATGTTCGGCCCGACAACATAGCATTCTATGAACTATACCAATTGATTGACATGTAGCTATATGACTCTCCTTTTGGTAGTGTGATACTAGTGACACCAATGATTAAACTCTTCATTTTTTATACGAAACATTGTAGTTTCTTAAAAAAAGGCAATCTCGTTTTAGTATTATAGGCACCGAACCAAATTCGCATGTCATGTAGTTGTATATTACTCTCTCGGTCCCACAAAAATAATCAACATTGAATTTTGAATTTTGTAATGTTTTTAGTATAAATTTCAAAACTCAATGTGGACTATTTTCTGGGGACGGAGATACTACCATTTTTAAGTGTTAACAAGTGAATCGTGATTTAAGAACAAAGCTTTCATGTTCACAAGAACAAAAGGCCATTCATAAATTTATTTTTTCAGAACAATAAGATATCAATCAATGCATCAATCACTCTTAACATCCACATGAGTAAGCACAGAGTGATGTGAAATATGTCCTGGATTCCCTATTCTCGCCACTTATTCCTTGATTTGGAATTCATACAGCATGTAATGAGTATAAACATGTCCAGGATTCACAATCGTGGAAGGAAAATTGGGATGATTGACGGCATCAGGGAATCCTTGAGTCTCGAAACAATACGCAGAATGCGGTTGATAAACGTAACCACCTTTTCCCGTGGCATTATGCACGTAATTCGCCGTATAGAATTGCAATCCAGGAGCGCTGGTTGATATCTTCATCTCAATTCCAGTCTTGTTACTATACACAACCGCCGCCAATCTCATATCCTCGTCTTCCTCGTTATCGCAATCGTCAAGTGCATAATTGATATCATACCCCATTGTGTCCGAAAGCTCGTTTATCATGCTTCCAACTTTGTGTGATTTGAGGAAATCATACGGCGTGCCTTTCACCGGCAAGATTTTTCCGGTCGGGATGAGCTGTTTGTTCACCGGAGTGTAGTGTGAGGCGAAGATTTGAACCTCGTCGGAGAGAATGTCGCCGCTGTTGTGGCCGCCGAGATTCCAGTAACTGTGTTGCGCGAGGTTTACAGGGGTGGCCTTGTTCAGGGCTTCTGCTTCCATAATTACTCTTAATTTGTAAGGATTTTCAAGTGCGTAGGTTACCGTGACAAATACGTTTCCAGGGAATCCTTCTTCACCATCGAAGCTGTAGTAGCTTAAGACGATGAATGGATTTGGTCCGTCTTTTACGTGTTGTTCTACTTTCCAAGTAACTTGGCCAAATCCTCGCTTTCCACCTGGAATTGGTAAACCGAGAATTTTTATGGTAATCAAATCGACAGAAATTAATGGGACGAGATTGATTAGGATTGGGAGCAAATTGATGATATTACCGTGAAGCATGTTTTGATTCTCGTTGGCATCAAGCTTGTAATGGATGCCATTAAGAGTGAACTGAGCACCTCCGATCCGGTTAGCAACCCGACCCACGATTGCTCCGAAATATCTTGAATCATTCTGGGGGCATAATTCATGTGATTTTACACTTAACAGCAAACGTGAATTAATAATCTCACAAAAGAACGAATAGGGTAAAGAAGAACAAGGATTTCGTTGCGTGGTTAGCTAAATTTGGTAAACGATATACGCTTTCAGGCTACAAAAGCAAGATTGAGTGTTTGGGGGGGGGGGGGGGGGAACAAAGAAAAAGTAGCATGATAATAGTGCAAAACTTCCAATCGAGCCAATGTAGCTGGTAGATAGATGCATAATTTTGACGTATTGGTGGACAAAAATTGATTCATTGAACAAGAAGATTCACATAATTACACTCGCAGCTGGATGGGATTTCCAGATAGCCCACAATGGGAAATGTGAATAAAAACAGAGAAGAAAGGTGGACCGCTACCCAAGAATAGTCAACAATAGGGGAATATATCAAAGAAAAAATTATCATAACCTTTCGGACAAAGACAAATTTAGCAATTAATAATTAATTGGTATTTTGGTTATTCTAACAGCACTTGGTTTGGATGGAATAAACAGCTTTACGTACTATATTACTTGGTACATATTTATAACTGAAACACGATATTGTCAGTATGATTTACCTATAAAAAATATAAATTAAAACTTATAGTGTTTGTGGACAAAGGCTTCATTTGGTTATAGCATTTCTGCTTTTCCCTTGATGCCAATTTTTCTATTAACATATGAGAAATTTCAACACGATTCCCCGGGATAAAATGGAAAATGCAGTCCTGCACTTTTGCTCAAAGAGATGTTCAAAACAAAGAGTTAGAAGCATCTTTTCATTTTCTCCAAAACTAATTAATCAAGCTCGAAATCAAACTAAACAAATGAAACCACTTGTAAAAATATCATCAAGGTGGTCACTATTAATTCTAGCTGGTTATGGGTCCCCCTAAGGCCCTAATACGACTAAAGAGCAATTAATAAACAGTAAGAAAGACGTTGCTATTAGTCCTCAACAAAAACAAGAAAAAAACGTTTTCTTCTTCTTCTTCTTCTTTTTTCTTTCTTTTTTTTTTTAAAAAAAATTCCCTCAGAGACTTTTCAAGGATAGAACAGTAACGATAAGATGCAAAATGGATACATGAAATGCAGATCATCCAAACCAAAATCAAACATATACGAATTAATCATGGGATTCTCGAAACAAAATATGCCAGGTAATATATACTACTGCATAAAAAAAATTCAAAAGTAACTTACTTTGTAGGCCTTAATGGAGTCGTAGCCAAGAACAACATCGGCCGGGTTTCCTGAACAAAAGTTGGAATTTTTATGGGAAAAGAAAAAAAACCCATTTGAGATTCTTATTAAGTTGATGATTATATACAAAATCTGAAAACGTAAGTGCAAATGCAAAACCAATTAACCTACCATTCTGATCGGGAAGAATGACGGAAATGATCCGGGCGCCGTAGTTGGTCACCTTCAACGAGGAATCACCTCTTTTGAGCTCATAGATTCCGATCTTACTTTTGTGGCCACTCGCAACGCCTCCTCCACCGAATATAGTAATAATCAGACATAGGAACGACAGAAACGTATATTTGGACATTGTTTTTTTCCGGTGGTCGGATTAAGGATATTTCAGTTAAAAATGGAATATGGAAAAGCTCTGTAAAAAAAGTTTGGGTGTCTTTTTCAAGTTTTAAGTGAGCTATTGCAGGAACCGCACATGAAGGGATGGATGTTAGAGCATACAAAATTTGCTATTGGTCTGGCCCATCCCCCTTAAATGGTTCTCTTTTCATTTCCTTAGTAGTAACATTTTCAACTTATTTTTTTTTTCTTAATTTTTATTCTTAAATTCTAATAAGTAACTTTATTTTGCTTTTTTTTTTTCCTGTAACAAACCGATCATTTATATTTTAGTGATTTAAAATTATTAAAATAAGACAGACGGATAAATAACTAACCGCATTCAAGTTGAAAGAATTGCTGTGTCATTTGACTGATTGACTCCATTTCTAGCGATGGAGGGATGGGAGTATGAGTTGTCTGTGATTGTCTTATTCTCTCCTAGGAATATTAATTAAAAAGCCAGTGATATTGCCAGGTCAATATTTAACTTCCAGATCAAAATTTGCAATCCTTTTCAAAAATGCCCTTATGAAGTCAAACGTTTATTTGTTTTTTTTTCTCTCCCGATATCTTCCCAAAAATTTGCAGAAAAAGAATGAGATGTCCACTCGATGTAGGACAGCAGCCATTGCAAGACTTAAAACCAACCAAAGAACATCAGTTCGGTATTAATCTGCTCACAGAATTTCTTTTTGAGGGGGGAACCAAGTAGAACCTTTGTGTAGTACGGCCTAAAACAAAAGATTGCAATAATTAATTAGTGCTCCTTAGAATTCAAATTATTGAGCAAATAATCACATAAATCATCTATACTTCTCAATCAGAATGATACAAACTAAAGTAGTGAACATATATTATAAAGGACACCAGAAACCAAATATAGTTGGTTAAGACATGGATCCACTCAGTTACTGAATATTTGAGTGCTGGTTCACGGTCATGATGAGCCTTACTATCTTCATACTAAACTCATCAACTTAGACAGAATGAAGAAC